AGTTTTTAAGTATTGTGTCCTTATTCCCATTTTTCCCATTAGTCATTTTTTTTTTGGTACTGGGAATCGAACTCGAGTTGTGCTTGTGCAGCAGGCGGCAAAACCACTGAGCTAAATCCCCAGCCCCTCCCATTAGTCTTTTGATTTTTAGTGCATAAAAATATTTAGCTAGTTTATAACATGTTATTATATAACTGACTATATGATTGTTTGGAAAAAAATTAATCAATGACCAATCCATGTGTTTTTTGTTTTTTGTTTTTTTGGTGCCAGGGATCAAACTCAGGTCCTTATGCTTGTGCAGCAGGCGGCGAAACCACTGAGCTAAATCCCCAGCCCCAATCTATGTTTTTAAAGGTAGCACATAGGCAAGCTACCAGCAAGTCTACATAAGCATCAAATCAGTCAGAGAAAATTCTTGCCCTATAAGCTCCTTTGGAAGAATCATTTTCTCCAGTCTACCCACTGGCTTAATACCTCACAAATTATATACCAGCCCAGGGGCCAGAGGGATATCATTTACGTTGAAAGAGTGAAAAAAACTTGAATTTGTCAAGAACTAAAGAGGTAACACTGAATGTACCTTCTAAATCCAGACCTCGAGGGAGCTGGGGATATAGCTTGGAGTAGAGCGCTTGCCTAGCATTGCGTGAGGACCCGGGTTCAACTTCCAGCACCACAAAAAACAAAAATAATAAAGTAAATTAAATTATTGCAGACCTTGATTCTAGCAAAAAATCTTGGCATGAACCACTGTTCAATAATGGGATGTTTGACAGCTACTCAATTTCTACCATGAAAGAATATGCAGCAGAAAACTATTATTTCTGCAATATAATTACAATAGTGCAATAGAAACCACAGGTCTTTTATAAACACTCTCTCCTAATTCTTGATAAACTCAGGAGGTAAAGGAGGATGGTGAACTAAAAGGAGGTCAAACATCTTTCCTAGTTTCCATACAGAAAAGAAATGGGACAGACCAATCCGCTGACCCTGAACTTAGAGCTGACTAAAGGCTGTTACTGAAAACCAAAGGGAAAATAAAAATAATGCTGCTAGTTAGGATGTTCAGAAAAGACAGAGAACAGAATTATTGTGCCATCCTGAATGAGCCTTACAACCAGGAACGATACCAAAAAAAAGCATGTTTTCCTATATGTCAGGCAAAGATATTTGGACATTACAGCCATTAACTCCAGCATCATTTCTTAAAGAATTAAACACATTAAATATTTAAAGTAACTGATAATTTTGTTTACATGTGTGTACATATGCACACACACACACAAAGAAAAAATAGTGAACCAAAAAAAACCCACTGAAATGGTAATAGTGGTAATACTTAGATAACAAAATAATATTATTTTTCCTTGTCCATAGGTTTACATTATATAATGAACATGTAACTCTTTTATTATCAGAGGAAATTAAATATCTTTTTAAACAGTTAACAGAAAGAGAAGAACCTCCAATATAATAGTAAGCCATCAAATGTTCCTGCTATTCTCCAAAGGGTCAGAGGTGAGCAGACTGGATTTGTAGGGCACTTTTCCCATCATGCAGGACAATCCATTGAAATCAGAACACAAAGAGAAGGCTACAGCAAAACTCTCAACCACAAGACATATGGGTAAGCACAAAGATGCTACACACCCAACAGATACATAAACTTGCTTGTCCCAGTTTTTAACAGCCAGCATTTTGGCGACTCCTACTGGGATTCTGAAAAATATAGAGTCACTTAACAAACTTAACGTCTGGTAGCAGAGAATGTGGAACTATGATCTAACCAGAGACAACCAGTGACCACTAAGATGTGCAAAGGCCACTGCAGATTTTCTAGCCAGTCTCCTCTCAACATCATCACCCAGACGATGATGAATATTCATTATCCATTGAAAAGGCCATGTACAGTCAGTCAACTATAGCCTGAAAACATTAATCAGAAAATTCAAGAAATAAAAAATTTATAGGTTTTTGACTGCACACCATTCTGAATAGCACGATGATATCAAGTACTGTCATATTCTGAACCTGAATCATCCCTTTGTCAAGTGTATCTACACTGTTTATGCTACCTGTCTGTTATTGCTTCTGTTAGTAGCCACTTAGTAGCCACCTAAGTTATCCGACCCACTACCAGAGCAGTATGTTCAGGTAACTCTTAGATTATTTAAAAATGACTCTCAAAGCACAAGAGTAATGATGCTGGCAATTCGTGTGTACCACAGAGAAGCCATAAAGTGTTTAAGTGAAAACGTAAAAGTTTTCAATTTATTAAGGAAGGAAAAATAAATCATATGCTGAGGCTACTAAGATCTAAAGTACAATTTTGAGAAAGACTACGTTCATATAATTTTATTATAGTATATTGTTATAATTATTCTATTTTATTATTAGCTATTATTAATCTATTCTGTACCTGATTTATAAATTAAATTATCATAGATATGTGTGTACAAGAAAAAAAAGTACAGTATATGTAGAATTTGGTACTATCAACAGTTTTAGGAATCTATTCAGGATTTTGCAGATAAAGGAAGTCTACCCTAAAGGCTAACTACTAGGATACAGCACTATCCCAGATACTGTTAATATAAAAGAGAGAAGGTGTAATCATTCACACATCTGATGGAGAAAGACAGGACTTACAAATCAAAAATACTTATGTGGGCTGGAGATTTAGCCTCAGTGGTTCCAGCACCTGCCTCGCAAGGGCAAGGTTCCAAGTTCGATCCCCGGTACCAAAAAAAAAACAAAAACAACTTAGGTAACATAAGACAACAAAATTAAATGGCTAAATTATATATATATATATATATATATATATATATATATATTTTTTTTTTTTTTAAAGGCACTTAAAGAACAGACTGCTCAATACAGATTAAATAGTTGGCTGATGAGTAGTCCAGACATAGTCACCAACATAAGCAAAAGCAATGGGACAGAAAAGACAGTGATGAACAATAATAGTATAGAAAGAGAAAGATTTGGGCAGAAAAAGATTTCCTTATCAGATTAAGAACATTCAGGGCTGAGGATTTAGCTCAGTGGTTTCGCCGCCTGCCTCACAAGTGTAAGGTCCCGAGTTTGATCCTCGGTACCAAAAAAAAAAAAAAGAACATTTATTGGGAAAATATATATACCAGATTCCAAATATGCTTAACATCCCACCGGGGATTTAGCTCAGTGGTGCTGTCGCCTGCCTTGCAAGGTCCCAAGTTCGATCCCCGGCATCAAAGAAAAAAAGGACCAAATATGCTTAATATGACAGAGATATACAGTAATAGTACATCCCATAGTAATTCCAAAGTCGATTTTCTGTTTCACAGAAAGAAACTAAAACTAGTTAAAAAGAGAAGTTAACTAATTTGTCTAAGGTCATCAAGGTAAGCAACCTAGCTGGGATTAGAACCAGGCCTCATGGGCTCCAAAATACACCTCTCTCTTTTTTTTTTTTTTTTTGTGGTACTGGGGATCAAACTCGGGTCCTTGCACTTGCACAGCAGGCGGCGAAACCACTGAGCTAAATCCCCGGCCCTACACCTCTCTTTTTTTATCCTCCCAATGTTACTCCTTCCTAAAGCACATTTTCTGATAACATCACCTCTGAATTCAAACTGTCTGGCTCTCATGGCCTATCTGCTCACCCTTTTGACTTTCCAGTGTCTTCACAGTCATCCCCTGAATATCAGAGCCTTGTCTCAGGAGACTGACTATAGATAAAATTAAAATGACCAATAACATTTACTCCTCCCATGGGTTATTTTCTTTCTCAGAGGAATGAAAACTTTCCTTTAAAAGAATGGTGGTATGTTTATCTTACTTTCTCAGGGAGAAAGGATATATTTTATGATGGCCAAGGATATATTTTATGATGTACATTTCCCATTCACAAGCCCTCCATGGAGGGCTCCATGGAATTCTATCCAGCCCAAATCTGGGAGACAAAAGGCCAGATGTGGCTGTAGGTTTGCTTCAGAAGACAACTGGAAGCCTCACTATTTTACATTTTAAGCACATGACATAACAGAACCTAAATTAAATACATTTGACATTTAAACATTTCTTTAACAGATAGGTTGTCAAAAAAATGTGCTCTTCATCTATTTTACAAAATGGTCTTTTACTGTCTCTGTGAACCAGGAAAATAATTATTTTTATTGGTCTCAGCTTTTTTACCATCAAAGATTTTATAGGTATGAAATGTCAAAAGTCTCAACTTTCAAAGGAACTGAAATAAAATTCACATGGGATCTCAGTATGTAGACAAGTAGGGAGAAGATCATGGCACTGACAGAGATTGCTCCATGGCACTCACTGTGGAAATAGTCTTCCTGACTACTCATGTGCTAAAACCAGAATATAGTAATAGCTAGGTCAAGGGTAATCTGATAACTTGAAAGCTCCCCACCAATATTTTAATAGGACAAGGAATAATAAGAGTTTCAAAATGTGTTTCAGAATGATAGTTCAGATTCTATCATGAGAAAATTTCTAGCTCATCCAAAAGCTTAGAAGTTATATTGAATTATATGTTTTACATAGAAAATAAAGAAAGATAATTTGAAAATAAAAGTGATATTGTTCACCCTTTCTTAACAAAAGTTGTTACTTTAATTTAATCCTTTACTTTAATTTTTTCATTTTAAAATGGGTGTGGTAGCGCACTCCTGTTATCTCAGTGCTTTGAAAGGCTGAGGCAGAAGGACTACAAGTTTAAACTCAGCCTGGACAACTTAGCAAGACTCTGTCTCAAAATAAAAAAATTAAGAAAGGTCCAGGGGTATAGCTCAGTGCAAAAGCCCTGGGTTCAACTCCCAGTACTGTAAAAAATAAAACAGGGTAGAGATACAGCTAAATGTGAAAGCCCTGGGTTTAATCCCCAATATTGAAAAAGAAAATCTCTTCTTATCAATGCTCTACTATATATGCAAAGAGATTTTAGGAGTAGAATTCTTTTCAAAGAAGCAACAATAAAATGAAGCCCTTACATATCTGGATGGCTCTTCTAGGTTCTGGTCATTCATGTCAGTAGGAACAATCCGGGTGGCCAGTGGTCCCGCTGCAAAAGGTTTTGGTAGCTGACCTCTGAACTCTGATGGAATGAACTGAAGCTGCCAACTATCAGAAACACAAACAAAGAGAATAAGAAAAACACAAGGGGATCATATTGCTAAATGTGCTTGAAACCAACCAACCAAAAAAAAAAAAATGTGAAAAACATTTCACATGAAGTAAAAAAAAAAACATTTTTGCTAAAACCTCAATCAGGGAGCACAAGGCAGAGGTCGCAGTTTAGTCCAAAAGCACTGAGAAATTTATGATTACACATCTCTCAACCTATTTCACTAAGTCTCAGCAGCAAAACTTGCAACCAAATAGTCATACCACCAACCAATCAGGGAAGTATCAAAACCTATTACTAATTATTATGTGCTCAGAGGGACTTATCAAAATTAGAGCAAATTCATCAGGTGTGCTGAACAGATGAAATGTAATATACAGCACTAAGAACATACTAAGGGAGCAGTACTTTGCTCCTGAGTAATCCTCAAAAGTATTTTCAGCTATGAAACTATTTCAAATGTAAAAAGCAAAGGCCAAAGTCAAAACTTAAAAAACAAATTTTAATTTAATCATTAATGATTGATGCAGGATCTTTATTAAGCACAAGATATTACTGCCAGTGCTATCTTGCTATGCTGAAGCCATTCCTCAAATGGAGCAAGATGACTCGTCTTAACCAGACTTCCCTTTTACCTAAAGAGGACCAAATTAAGAAAAATATAAGGAATTCTAGGGCATATGCTATTAAATCTAACAACAGACAGCATAAAGGAAGCTGGACAGATGTCTTAATGGTAGCTTTCCCCACTGCCATATATTGACAGGGAACTTTCACTGTCATCGGATAGGAAAAAATTCTTCTCTAAACTGGGTATGGTGCACACACCTATAATCCCACCTGCTCAAGAGGCTGAGGCAGGAGGATCTCAGGGCCACCCTGGACAATTTAGCAAGACTCTTTGGCCCTGCTACCAAAAATATTTTTCTAAAAAACTATTATAGCTAGAGTTTCTAGACCACTTCTAGAAGTGCATTAATATCAAATAATTAAATATCTATAAATATAAATCTTCAAGAATAGTCACCAGCAGATACCTGGAGCCCAAACCACTTTCAGCCTGTGGTTATGAGTTGAACAGGGTGCATACCGAAACACAGCACCCAGTGAGACAAGCACAGGAGATGGATGCACAAGGCAGATTCCATAGCAATCTAAGATGGCAAATAATTCAATAACTTTCTGTAAAAAATCCAAAATAAAAATTAAGAAGATCCTGCCATATAATTGCTATTTTTACTTCTTGATTTAAAACTCTAGGAATAGGGCCGGTGATTTATCTCAGTGGTTTCACCGCCTGCGGCGCAAGCACAAGGACCCAAGTTTGATCCCCGGTACCAAAAAAAAAAAACCAAAACTCTAGGAATCAAAGGACAACTCACTTATCAGGCAGCAGGAAGCTGCTGGGAAATCGATACCACTCTTTTCCCACACAGACATTCACAGGTCTGCCTTCTGGGACAGTGTGGATAGTTGGATCTGTAGCAATTCGGTAAAATTCTGGATACAAGTCAAGGGGTCCATGATATCCTGGAAGAAAGTACAGTTAATAAAAGTCAAAGATGAGTAAGATGAGATTCTGGAATTTAATTATAATGTATGTTAACATCCCATTATAATCCACATGAAATTTAGAGTGCAAAGGGCCATAGCAACTCCAGCAAGGAGTCTGCTCCACAGGTATAAAATGTCTCTCTGGTTACAAAGGTGGCTGCAGGAGAGACCCTGTTTTGTCAAATATAACTTGGTTTCTTGTCCTTGAAGAAAGAGAGAAGAAACTTCTGTTTAACTTTATATTCTTTCAGCATATTCTAATATTCTGGATCCCAACAGTAATTGTAAGAAAAATACAATCATGAAAATTTAACCCCAAATTTGCATCATAAGTTTAGGTTTCCTTAATTCATCAGCAGCCATTAAAAGGGGGGAAAAAACCCAATAAGGATAGGAAAGGGCCAGGTATTTAGCTCAGTTCCACCACCTGCCTTGCAAGTGCAAGGTCCCAAGTTCAATCCCTGGTCCCCCCGCCCCCCGCAAAAAAAAAGGATAAGAAAAAATGTGTAGTTAATAACAATAAAAGGAACTCTCAACCTCTTTCGATCCTGAGGTACAGAAGTCACACTGCATCAAATTAAGTCTACACGCTCTTCCTTTAGGATAGGCCTCTTCCTAACATAAGCCAAATGTGTTAAACAAGCCTGAACCAAGTAAAATCTAAAGTGCCTCATAAATGTGGGTTCAGATACCCTTGGCACATTTACCTCTGAACAGTGCCACAGAGCGAGAAAATGATAAGAGCCCAAACAGGAAGACTATTCCTAATGCCAGCCAATTGGATGTCACAGTATAGTGCTCCAAGCGGTATCGTTGAAACACAAAGTGGTAGCATTTCTAGAAGGAAAGAAAACTGTATTGATAAAAGATACCTTGCAGAATATATACAATCACAAAACATCAAAGAAATACCAATAGTGTAGAAGCAGAAATAGAGGGATAATTGAAGGTCTGAGCAAGTGCAAACACCTAGAGAGCTACCAGCTCCAAACTTTAAGATCAAAGCCAATTCCTCTAACACTATCTGGAGATCAGCCCAGCCAGAGAGCTTGCCAGGAGTGAACTCTCACTAGCTTCACAGGAAAATTACCTGGGTATTTTTCTAGTGTTTGAAGGCATAATAGCTTATTTTTTAAATATTTAAGCAAAAGTGCTTTTGGTAGTTTTCTTTGATATATAAAGTATTTCCATCGTTTAACTGATATGAGTATCTCCTTGCTAACAAGTTTTCATCAGTTTTTAGCATCACAAAATGTGTCATGACCAAATAAGAAAAAAGAATTCCTAAGCTGGGCACAGTGGCACATGCCTGAATCCCAGCACTCAGCTAATCACTCAGCTGAGGAGGCCAGCCTGGGATACATAACCTGTGATATATATCCCGATATATACCCTGTCTCAAAAACAAACAAAAAAAGAATTCCATTCACAGAAAAGTAGGAACATGCTATTAATTATCTGCTAAACTAGAAATTAGATGATTACTATAATATATTCACACATTTTTATGAACTTATTTTTTTTAATGTTGGAGATTGAAATCAAGGCCTTGAGCATGCTAGGCATGTAGTCTAAGTTACTCTCCCAACTGATCCGCTCCCTTTAAGTACTTTCTCAATCTCTTTTACTTCTGTCCCTCCTAGACAGGAATTACTTTTGGTAATCAATTTTGTAATATACAACAAATACCACAAATATATTTGAGCCCTTTTGATATTTTTGAGAAAGGCTTGGAGTGTGGCTCAACGGTAAAGCACTTACCTAGCCTGGGTAAGGCCCTGGGTTGAATCCCCAGCACTAATGAAAAAAAACAAGGGTGGGGGGACTCTGTCCTAAGAATACAATCCAAATATCTAAATGAAAAAATTTATTCTAGTAGTATTTACAATACTAAATGAATAAGCAACCTAAACTCTAACACAAATTATATCTAATCTTTAATTAACTATAACCAAGCCAATATATATTACAACCAATTACTATATATTATATCCAAATCAGAACATTATATTTCTGTTAAAATAATATAGATACCGCAACAAGCAATATTATGATATAATTATTTTTTTTCTTTTTGGTACCGGAGATCGAACTTGGGTCCTTGTGCTTGCGCAGCAGGCAGCGAAACCACTGAGCTAAATCCCTGGCCCGATATAATACTAATTTTAAAAGAATATAGTTGAGGGTCCAGGGATTTAGCTCAGTGGTTCTGTTGCCTGCCTCACATGCGCAAGGTCCTGAGTTCAATCCTCGGTACAAAAAAAAAAAAAAAAAAAAGAATATAGCTGCCTGGGGATTTAGCTCAATTGCACTGCACCTGCCTGGCAAATGCAAGGTCCTGAGTTCGATCCCCAGTACCAAAAAAAAAAGAACATAGTTGGGTTTTTTTATTTTTTATTTATTTTTAATACTGGGGATCGAACTCAGGACCTTGCTTGCGAGGCAGGCGCAGTTCCACTGAGCTAAATCCCTGGCAGTTGTTTTTTTTTATTATAGTCATAATGGGCAGGGGATTTAGCTCAGTGATTTCGCTGCCTGCTGTGCAAGCTCAAGGACCCAAGTTCGATCCCCGGTACCAAAAAAAGAAAAGAAAGATCTATTATAGTCATAAAAATCCTTGATATGTGATATGCAAAAATACTAGATGTTTTTGTTTTATCTGAAATTCAATTACTTTTATAATTAGGTTTTTTTTGGGGGGGGTTGATAACAGGGATTGAACTCGGGACCTTGCGCTTGTGAGGCAGGTGGCGGAACCACTGAGCTAAATCCCTGGCCTAATTAGTTATATTTTTAAAACTTTTACCCTAACATAAATAAACCTTGAAAACATTACGCTAAATAAAAGAAGCCAGTCACAAAAAGACCACATATTTTATGATCTATTTATATGATGGATGAAATGCCCAGAGTAAGCAAATCTACAGAAAGAAAGTAGACTACTGGTTACCCAGAGCTGGGAGATAAAGGAAAGAAGGTAGCTAAAGGGCACAAGGCTTTTGAGGAGATAAACATGTTCTAAGACTGACTGTGGTGATGCTTGTATATATCTATGGATATGCTAAAAACCACTGAGTTGCACACTTTAAATAAGTGAACTATAGTTTATGAATTATATCTCAATAAATCTGTTAAGAACAAAACTTACATGCTGGGGATGTGAGCTCAGTGATGCCACACCTGCCTTGCAAGCTCAAGGTCCTGAGTTCGATCCCCAGGACCAAAAAAAATGACAGGACTGGGGATTTAGCTCAGTGCCACCATGTCTGCCTGACAAGCGTAAGGTCCTGAGTTCGATCCCAGGTACCAAGAAAAACAAAAAAAGAAGAACAAAACTTGTTTCCTATCAATTGTTTCCTATCAATTGCAAACGATAACAGGGGGCAAGAAAGACTCTCAAGGCTGCTGAGGCCACAAATACAGAGATATTCAAAGAAAAGTCAAATTAATTCTGTCAGAGAATTGACCTGGACAGGTGTTAAACCAGGTTTACAAAGTGTCCCTTGTTGCTAACTGCCTAATGTAATCCCAGTCTTACAAAGATTTACTCTCATTTAGTAGCTAAAGAGCAGACATTCTATTAGCTTTACTCAGGTACCACTATCATATCATGGTGGCCCATATGGTGACTTAAAAATGTATCTTTATTAGCAACTGGATTTCTTTTGGCAACAGAAACAAATTATCTCACAAATTAATAATGCAAGCACGTAGTCAGCAAATAAGAATAGGATAAGCAGTTTTAGCAATGCAAAAAGTTTTACTAATATGATCTGTATCAAGGGTAAAGTTATATCTCAGCTGGACTTATGCTATAATTTGCCCTTAAGTTTTTGAGCAATTATTTAATAAGTGAAACCAAATGAGGCAAATATACTTCTCCCTGAAACTCACCTGAAGTGCAGAAAGAGCCACAGCGCCACAGAGACATATAAGTGGATATACAGGGAAAAGAAATCTCTCTTCTTTGTGAGGCTGGATGAAGAAAATTATAAACCAAACATACATTGGAGCCAAGGTAAGCCAATATGGGTGGCCTAAATTCTGAACTGCAAGACACAGAAAAATATCCACTTTTCATCACACTAGAACAAAACAACATATTTAGTTTCAATGTTCTCTTAATCTCAAATTTGGGAGTATGCTCTACAGAACCCCATAAAATGTTTCAACTTCTGCATTCCCACTTTCACCAATGTAATAAAGATGTCAAGTAGAAAGAGGAGTATACTCCTTAGCTCTTCCAAAAGATCCAAAATTAAAGGGAGGCACAATACTGGCAGAACACATGTGAAGGTCAAATTAATGGATAATATAACTGTATAAGTTCTATGCTGGGTGAAGGGGAAAAAAAAGCCTTCCAACCTCTAATAAGTCCTTCCACTAAACCTAAATATTTCTGAGATACTGTAAACCCATTTCTTGGGTTTTAATTCTTGACTTCTACTTAATACATTGACCTTCTTATCTATATACCAATTGGTCTGTTCAAAGAGACACAGATTGGGCCAGGGATTTAGTGGTTCTGCTGCCTCCCATGCAAGTGCAAGATCCCAAGTTCAATCCCTGGTGCCAAAACCCCCCCAAAAATCCCCAAATAGACACAGATTAAAAGAAAAAAAAACTTGCTGGGTATCTTCCCAAAAGAATTAAAAGAATCATACCACAGCGATATATGTGCACCCAGGTTTATAGCGGCACAGTTTGTAATAGCTAAAGCTTGGAAACAGCCCAAGTGCCCATCAACTGGAAACTGGATAAAGAT